TGCTGTTTTGATATATTCATTTCTTTACAACTGTTGACTGTATAACCTTAGCTTGTTATTTAGTTTTCTCTTTGCACATCTTCATCATGTTACATGTTGATTTGCTGTTCAGCCCGTCTATAAGCTTGAATCTCACCTACTATTCAAATGTGTTTGAAGAAGTGCGCATGCACACGGAAGCTCATACCTTGAATAAAACTTTGTTGGTCTTAGAGGTGCCCCACTGGACTCTAAATTTGTTCCACGGCTTCAGACCAACACGGCCCCACCTGGATCTGCCTAACAAGGAGCTATTGCATGGCATCTGAAGAAGCGGGGCTCCGGTCCGCAAAAGCTTATTCTGGAATAAATATCTTATTACAGGTGCAATCCTAAGAACACTTACCCCTCTCTAGATCCACTGAAGTCTGTATGATCAGAAGGGCTGAACTCTTCTTAAGATGGCATTGTTAGTCTTTAAGGTGCCACAAGGCTTCTGTTTATTTTCACATCTAGGGAGAAGGGTCGCTTATCATTTTAGGAGAAAATTCCTTCATACCAGCTTTGGATAGCTCACATTTTATGAACAGGATTTAATTGTTCACTAGCCTGAAATGTTAAGGGTGTGAGTTCAAATCCTGAATTTGTAACCCATGTTGAAGAGCCCAAGAGTCCTGCAAACACTTTAGAGCAGGGTTGTCGAACTCATTTGTTATAAGGGCCGGATCTGACACAAGTGAGACCTTGTTGGGCCGAGCTATGTGTATCATAAACTGTAATGCCAGGTAGTGGAGATATAAACACAAAGGTGTTTTTTTAACTTAAAATAAAAACATGCTTAAACCATTAGCACTCTTGCAATATTTTGTTTATTAAACAGTGTCTGATAACTGACACCTCTTGCTCTGAATTACTGCATCAAGATGTCTGTGCTGTTGCAATCTTGAGTATGCTGTTCAGGTGTGTATCTGTAAGTTGCAAGCCACAAACCTATGATGACACAGCAGCAACAGAACTGGAAGAAGAAGCAGAAGACAGCCAGTTCCACTGCGGGCCTGATAGAAGCCCTCTAGGGGCCTGATCCGGCCCCAGGGCTGCATGTTTGACACCCCTGATTTAGAGAAAGCATTCCCTGTAACAGAATTAAGAGGATCAGGACCAAGCTTTGTGTGTCCAGCATCCACGGCATGGGAAATCCTGAAAGCTCAGAAGAATATGGCAGCATTTCGCATCCCTTTGGCTTCCCAGAGCCAGTACGGTGTGCTGGTTAGATTGCCACACTAGGATCTGGGAGACCCAGGTTCAGATCTCCACCCTGCAATGTAAGCTCGCTGGATGATCTTGGGCCACTCACATACTCTCAGCCTAACCTACCTCGCAGACTCTCAATGTTCCCTCTAAGCTATGGAGTCTTGTGAGCAAGAATCCTACCTTGTGAGCTACTGGCATTAAAGTGGTGAGCCAGCGATTCGGCTGCTGCATACATTAGTTTGCTCTGGAGCCCTCCTTCCTGAGCGGAGATAAAAATGTGTGAGCCGGAGGGTAGAAAATTGTGAGCTAGCTCACACGAACTCAGCTTAGAGGGAACACTGCTCGCAGTGTGCTTTTGAGATTAAAAATGGAGGCGGTAATCGAATCCACTTTGGGTCCCCAATGAGGAGAAAAGTGGGGTATAGATGAAGATTGAGTGCTTCCTACAGAAGGAACTTGGGGCTCCGCCACAGCCATCTCATGGGTGCATGCTTGCTTGAAACACCCACCACAGAGAGAACTGCCGTTATCCCAGAAACAGTTATCAGTCCATTTCTAGCGACTACCTATTTGTCAAATAACTTGGAGAAGAGAGAGTTCTACGACATAGGTTGAGTCAAGATACACTTTGCTGGTTTCTGCTTAGATGCTCTGCAATTTCCTGCCTCACTTTGACTGCGTTTGGCACTTTCAGAACATCAGCCATACTCTGAGTAGACCTTAAGACACTCCTATAATAGAAACAGTACTAAGAATAGCCCTGTGGACGTGATAATCAGACTATGGAAGCACGGAGCAGGATTGCCAGCTCTGGCTTGGGAAATTCCTAGCGATTTGGGGGGTGGCGGAGCCTGGAGAAGGTGGAGTTTGGGTAGGGGATGGAGCTCAGTAGGGGATATGATTCCATACAGTCTACCCCCTGAAGCTGCCATTTCCTCCAGGGGAACTGATCTCTGCAGCCTAGAGATCAGTTCTAATCCCAGGAGAACCCCAGGACCCACCTGGAAGATGGCAACCCCCAACTGCACAATAATGGGTTAATACACAAAGTGGGGCTTTCCCACATTCTCATTTCCCTCCCTGATTTCTTTGGATTTCCCCCCTATTCTGCATGTATTTTGCTCCCTCTAGTGGTCAACTCGATATTACACCGGTTTATGTGTGGCATAAAAACCTGCAGTTTAAATCTGAGGGAGATATGCCGGACATAAACCGGTGTAATACCAAATTGACACTAGATGGAGCAAAACATGTGTGGAATAGGAACCCCCCCCCCAAGTAACAGGAATCTGCTGTCAAGTCACAGCTGATTTATGGTGACCCCATAGGGTTTTCATGGTAAGAGACATTCAGAGGTGGTTTGTCATTGCCTGCCTCCCCGTCACGACCCTGGTATTCCTTGGAGCAGTCCCATCCAAATGTTAGTGAAGGCTGACCCTGCTTAGCTTCCAAGGTCTGATGAGATCAGGCTAACCTGGGCTATCCTGCTCAGGTCAGCAGGAACTTACAAGCAAGGGAAATGATAATACGGAATAGCCTCCGCTGTCACTTGATTGTCATTTGCATGGGGCTAAAAAGGGGCAGTATTTTATTTCCTCATGAGAGTTCCCTTCCTGAAACACTCTTGGAACCAGAAATGACCTTTGCCCCCAGCTACCCCAAAGGGGACATTGAAATGATTTCATATTAACCAGGAATCAGTCAAGTTCGGCTTTGTCGATTTACTCGCAATTACACATCATTTTCTTTGTTTATCTACCGGAAAAGCCTGTTTGAGCCTCTGTCTCAACAAATAAACTTGAAGTAGAACTAGTGGTTTTTATTTTTATTTTTTCATCCTGCAAACATGTTATTAACAAAAAGTACACTTAGGTTGGGGTGTTGGATTCCAGAGATTTTCCGCGACATCTCCCTAGAGGATACATTCAAAACTGCTATTTCATCTTATCCTGAAAATACGGACAGCTTTATTTCCCCCTTCAGACACCAAAGCCACCGGGAGTAAGATACCTCCTTTCCAGATAACATGATGAACAACTGCTCAGGGGCACTAAAATGAAAAACAAAGAATCTTGGAGAGGCTTCTTAGGCGTTGGTTTTCTCTCTGTGGCCCTATACCCTCAGCCGAAGCTACACATAGGACAGATACAACTTATGGGACATGCAAGACACTGTCTAAAATCCTGTCCACGTCAAAGCCCAATGCTGAAGCAGAGCCACAGTTGCAGAGTCCTCTAGTCCAAACGGGTCCTTTTTTGCTGCCTGCCTCCAGAGTCCAACTGCTTAGCCTATGTTTTCAAGATCCTTCCTGCATAATTCTGTGCTGAATTACCCTTTTATTTGCATAGCTACCTTCAGCAGAAAAAAGACACACACCAAAAAAAGACAGCTGAATTTACTCAAGCCGGCAAGAGGGAGAGAAATCAAGAGAGACCGATTTCACAGGACATACGTAACAGTTCCTTCTAAATCTTAATCAGTTGTTTATTGGTTGGCAAACAAATTTCACTTTTACAACAAATATTAGTAATGAGGTCATTCAACTTGGCGACCATACAAAATGCATCATAAATTAAAAAAAAGTAGAATCTGTGCTGCTAATTTACCTCCTGGGAAGGCCTACATTACTTTAAATCTTGTCAAATAAATACATTTCCTGTTAGGAAAATAATGGAAGGATTTTTTTAACCACTCAAAATAGGTTTTTCTTTTCTTCCCCCCTCCCCATCTTTGCTATGTCTCAGTCAATTTTTGTTAGACCTCTGCAGTACAAGTTCCTAGCTTGGGGACGGGATTTTGACTCCTGCAGAGGACAGTGTGTTCAAATGCAGAAGTCCCAATGACTCCCCTAAGGATATATCGGCTCTTAGAAGGGTAACTAATGTCTTGGAGAAAGGCTGCATGCCACAAACGCCGCACCTTCTCACCGGTTGTGCACTGTAAACATAAAAGTTTGTCCAGCTCTCCAATTTGCAAAATGTTTGGTTGACAAATTTATAAAGAAATACAGAGTTAGGAAAAAATATCTCTTAGACTACTGAAGAATGGCATTTCTAAATCAATACGAGGAGGGAAAAAAGGATCTTTATAGAGTGAATTTCTTTCTTTTGCCCAGTGGAAAACAAATTTATATGGAAAAATGGCAAAAAAGAGGATGTATGAAAAATCTTGCTCCTACTGGTAGACAACCTTGCGAGACCAGCACAACAGAAAAAAGTTTTGTTTGTTTTTTTTCCACTACATTAACAGGGACGCAAGTTCTGGCGGAACAAAAAGCAGACTATATGTGCAATGCTAGTATCTGTACATTACATAGGAATTGTTCCATTTTTCTCTGCCATTAGAATTATCATCAGTTAATACAGCAAAACATAAAAAATATGCTGTGTAGCATACAGTTACAGACTTCCCTTCTATTTCTTTAAGGTTTGCTCCACAGCTTAAGTGGGCTGTGGTGAAATCAAATGGTGAGAGACCAAAAAACTATTATGTGATACAGATTCGGAATAAACAGTTTTTTTTGCTATTTTTGTTTCATTTTTTTTTTTTTGTGCAGCACTCCAATCTAGATGCATCATTGCTAGTCGTCGCAAATGCACATTCGGCCTTGTGGAAATCAGGTCCTTGGTAATAAGAGGAAGAGCGCATCCAAAGATGCTTAAACGAATACAGTTATAATTTCAGACGGCCACACAGTGGGCCATTTTATTTTTCCTGTCGCATCCCTTCATTCGCTTCCAGAAGTCTCTCTGAGGTGGGGGCAGGGGGCAGGAGGGGGGGACAGGAGAGGGGGGAAATCACAGCCGTTAGCATTCTTCCTGGGCGTGCCTAGAAATCCTATTAAAAAGGTATGAGAATTGTTTGTCGTTTAGAACAGCATGAAGTGGGAGAATACACAATATTACCACCGCTTTGATTTAACTCCGAACAGTAATCCGAGCGCTGGGCGAGGAGCGTTTGTTTTTTGTTAAAACGTTTCGCTTCGTCTTCTATAGACTAGTGACCAAGTGAGCCGGTCCTTTGGAGGTTTCTTCCGATGGGGTCCCGTCCTTGTTTGGCGGGACTATAAATCCGTCACTGCTGCCTCGCCCCAGCTGGTAGTAAGTGTGTAGCTGTTGGACATGGTTTCTGGAGCCCAGGTTTGGCATGCTCTTGTAGTACACGTCGTCCACATCACTACTTTTGGCTGACGGGGGTTCGGTCTGAGTGCTGGTGGTGATGCTCTCCGCGGCCGGCATGCCAGCCAGCGCGGGCATACTAGTATAAAGAGAGTCCCTATTGGGTGACTGGAGATCTTCTGTGTGCTCATTGGTTAGCAAGGGGAAAAAACTCTCGCTGTTGTCTTGCGGAATCCGTCTCCTGCCGTAATGGTGAGGCTGGTGGTTCTCTGCAGAATAAACCCTCGGGGGGAGCAACGGGGCATCCGACTCCTCGTGGATGAGTTCCAAGCCAAGGCTCTCCTCTTGGCTGAAGGAGGTGGCGTCGTCGAGAACAATGGCGTCGTCCTTGCTCCCGCCGCCCAGGTTGTTGACCAGCTTGTTCATCAGGTTCCTGTTCTGTTCGCTGGAGCACTCGTGGTTGTTCAGGTAGGAAGGTATGTAGTTGGAAGTGAGTTCTTTCAGAATCTTTTTCTCTAAGGCGGTCTCACTGTGGTTATAGCTACGGTCAATGATTTGCACACAGTTGCTCAGGTATTCGCTGCTGGCAATGCTGTAGCTATTGCCGTGGTTACCATTCAGTGGTAGAGTATCCATGACACTTGTATCCCTGGCATTGTTCAGAAGCCCCTCTGAAAAATATCACACAAGAAAGGTTGACTTGTACCAACAGGTATATGCATGGGGGGTCCTGCTCTACACGGCTATTGCCCTAAGGGGGCAACGCGATTGCAATACTCTTTTTCTACATTCTACAGTAACCGTGCACAAAAAAGAGAGAGAGAGAGAGGAGATAGGGAGAGAAAGGGAACAGAAAGGGGGGGGGAGTACATAAATTATAAGGTTTGGAGGCAAGGAAAACCACACCGACTAAAACAGGCTTTTCCAACAGGTTTGTTGCATGAAAACAAGGGCTTCTTGTTAACAACAACAATAACATACTTTTTCCCTGTTGGAAATCAGGTCTCCACAGAACTTCCAAGCTCCTAGCAAAGCATTCCTACTGACGCTAAGGCAGGGGCAACATTGATGAGCTTATCTCAAAATTAGTTCTGAAGGGATCTCTTGGTTTATTACAGAAATTCTGAGCGTGAATGAGTTGTTTTTTTTTTTTTGGCAATTGTCTAATTAAAAACAAATTGCATTCTGAGCATAAATTCTCAGGATAAAATCAAATTTCTCACTCACAGCAACCCCACTGAAGACAATGGAGACGTGTAAGACCATTAAACGCCAAGTCTGAACTTGGTATCAAGTTTACCTATAAGAAGTTATTGTGAATAATCTTTTTTTTTAAAATTCTAAATCACATTTGAGGCATCTAACAGAACTACCTACATATTGGCAGATTATTATGCAGTTGTTCAAAACGGCTAGAAAAACCCAATCAAAGACTTATTAGGGTCTACGAACTCCCAAAGTACAATACAAAAATCGCAAAACTTTACTGCATTTCTTTGCAGAACAGTTGCAAACGTGAAAGATTACCCTCACTGCCGCACTGCTGACACAATTCAGTGTAAATCACAGCCACCTGAAGGTGGATGTGCAACTCAGTCCTATGGCTACATACTCAAGATGGTTTCAGTAGCTCCTGGTCACTAGAAATCCTGCGGCAACCCTGCCCATGTTTACCTCGGAGTAATCTCACTGAACACAGAGAGTAATTCCAAGTAAATTTGTGTGCATGAATGCAGCTCTAGACATACTTCGTAGACAATTTCAATTGAACTCAATCGGACTTAGAACCAATCATGCTTAGAACCAATCTGCAAATGCAGAGGCAAGCAAATCAACCAGTTTTGTCCTGCAAGTTTTAAGTCAGTCCACAATTTGCAATATTAATTACTAAACCTGGCCGGCTGCTAATGACGATTTAATGTTGTAAAACGGCATGCTGACTTTCAAGTCACTTTGTCAGGACCCGTAGAAATTAATACAGTTATGATAACTAGAACTGTGTCAACAGTTGCGCCTGTGAATATATTCTTTTAGTTTTGCTGCTATGTTTGTTCAGCAATACAACCGTGATGCTTTTGTATTTTAGTTTGGGAGATTTAACTCTTTGTCGATTTGTGTTTGGGGTGTTCCCCCCCCCCCAAGTTCAATGCTGCCCTTGCTGGCGCCGGGGCCTCTGTTGCTAGACCTTGCGTGATGCAGATGTCCCAAGACTGCATCTGAATTGGCGTGCAGGGAATGAGGTATGCCCGGGGCCTGGGAATAGAAAAGCTTTTTTGGGGGTATCATTAGTTATACACATGACCAACACACATCCTGTACAAAGATATATAGATATACATTTTCTGTTCATAAAAAAGCCCTGGAAACTGTTTTGGTTCCTGTACCCCAAAAGAGGAGGGGAATAAACTGTCAGAGATTTAGAATCACAGAAAGCTCTGCTGGCATGAAATGGCATTAGGTACTGGCAGGGCTTTTTTTGGGGGGGGGGGGGAAGAAGAAGAGGTGCCAGAAGTCTCAAGAGGGAAATGGAGTTTTTAAATCTGTATACTGAAAAACTCATGGACTTCTAAACATTTTTAAAAGGATTTTGTTGAAGAGGTTCCAGAACTCTGTTCCGGCATGTTCGCCCAGGAAAAAAGCCCTGAGTACTGGGAGCCCGAGAACATTTTAATTGTGAGGTTTAAACCTGCCTTTGAGTCTCTTAAGAACATAAGAAGAAGAGCCCTGCGAATCAGGCCAGGGGTCCATCTAGTCCAGCATCCTGTCTCACACAGGGGCCAACCAGTTCCTCTGGAAGTCCAACAATGGGGCAGAGAGGCCGAGGGCTTCCCCTCATGTTTTCTCCTGGCTCTGGGATTCAGAAATTGACTCTCACGAAAGGTGGAGGTTCCCTTTAGTCACCATGGCCAGGAGCCACCGCTAGACCTCTCTTCCTTTCTATTTAGGTGAATGTCTCATTTCTTCTGACATGGGGGGGGGGGAGGAACAGGCATCGATAATGCAAAGAAGTATTCAGGCTAATAACAGAGCTAAGTCTGCATGGGGAAATTAATGGAACAAGAAGTGCTTACAACTTCACACAGGGCTGTGAGTGACTTGGGCACCTTCTGACGGCAACTGTCTTGTCCCAGTTCTAGTGCTGTGGCACACGAACGGTAGCACAGCTATAGACCTGGTCAGGAGCAGGACTCTTGCCCCCACCCAGTGCTCACTGCAGGACATCAGCCATGTCAACTATAATCCTGTCCCTGAAACTGCCACGCTAAACAGAATAGCTAGACTCAAGTCCAATAGGACCTTAGAGACCAACAAGCTTTTGGGGGGTAGAAGAAGAAGAAGAAGAGATTGGATTTATACCCCGCCCTTCACTACCCAAGGGAGTCTCAGAGCGGCTTACAAACTCCTTTCCCTTCCCCTCCCCACAACAGACACCCTGTGAGGGAGGTGGGGCTGAGAGAGCTTTTGACAGAAACTGCTCTTTTTTAAGAACAGCTCTTATCAGAACTACGGCTTGCCCAAGGTCATCCAGCCAGGTGCAAGTGGGGAATCAAACCCGGTTCTCCCAGATTAGAGTCCGTGCTCTTGACCACCACACCAAACTGGCTCTCAATAAGCTTCCCAGAGTCCAAGCGGCCTATCTCGGCCTCTCGAAAACTTATACCCCGAAAACCTAGTTGGTCTCTAAGGTCCAACTGGACTCAAGTCCAGCTGTTCTGCTGTGGACCAACATGGCTGCCCTCTGAAAATATCCTACACCGAGTTCCACCATTCTGTTTTCACCAAGGTCTGTGGGGTTTAGAGGGGTGCAATTCCATTTAAGATGGCACTGTTAGTCTCCCACCAAGTCATCTGAAGTTTATCTCTAGCTTTGTTAATATTAAGGATGCCTATTTTTTTTCTTGTTACTTCTGATAAGGGCTAGGATTTGAGTAACTTTCAGAGCGGCCAGAGTTCCTTCACCCCACCTCACTTTGCTGCAGTGGACACAAACTACCCTTCACTGGCCTGCAGGCCGAATTTCCCGAGTCATCTTCTGGAGAAAGACAGGGCTGTCGCTGGGCTGTAAACTGACTGCGCCTCGTGCCCTAAACCTCTGCCCAGCCGTGTTTTGAAGCCTCTCTCAGGCCCAAGGAAGGCTCTAAAACTTGGCTGACTAGAGCAGTAGGATACAAGTCACCATCTTTCCTCTTTTAATCAAGCCTGAGAGCCAAACTCCATGTTACAGAGAACACGGGTCCTAACCCATGATCGCCGGTACTGTTTTAGAGGAAAAACTAGATGCTTAAAAACCGCCATGAGGCCAATCCTGATCGGGCCCATTACACGGCAGCACCAGCTGATATTCGACCCCCCAATCAAGGGATAGGGTTGCCATTCCCCCATTGGGGCCACGGGATCCCCTGATTTCAGGGGGCCCAATCTGCTGAGACCCCACTGGCTGGCAGGGGAAGCCCCACCCCAAGATGCCCCCTCCCGGCAGTGCCAGTGCGATGACATCACTTGGGAGTGATGTCTCTGTGTTTCCGCCATTGTGGGCAACCCTTTAGGTTTTGGGCCAAACTCTGTGGTTTTGAGGCCCAAGACCTCACAGAGGTTTGCCCAAAACCTAGACTGTCACCCCTGACGTTGGAAATGCGTTGATGTCACATGCAAAGTGCACGCCCCAGAAGAACTCCAGGAAGGCTTGGGAGCCCCCCTGCCAACAGCCTGTGGGACCTGGCAACCCTACCACGAGGAGGGGGGGCTGTTTCAGTAACCCTAAAGGCATGGGGGGGGGAGATTGCTTGTTGCCACCTCACTGCAGGCTCCATCAGGATTGGTCCCTTGTGGCTATTTCCCCCCTAAAATATCATCGGTGGCCATGGGTTGGGCCTATGTCTGCCGTGACATGTAGTTTTGCTCTGAGGCGGAGTCCCGTGGAACCTGAAAGCCATCTTGCTGCTTTGTGATTTTTCGTCCACCCTGATAAAAGGTATTTTTCTGTTGGTCATGCGGAGCTGCTTAGACTGCAACAGCCTGCAAGCTCGGGCAGCTGCGTTGGAAGGGCCGAAAGAGCAATGTGCTGCCACCATCTGGGAGGCCTGCCCTTTGGGAGACGAGGGTCAGTCTTCTGATGCTTATCATCCGCCTGGGATTCCCTTAATTAATATTATAATCCTCTAGATAAACACAAAACACGAGAGAAGATTATGGCTTCCGTATGCTTCCCCCCCCCCCCCCCCCCCCCTCGCCGGGTGCTGCCAAATATGGCACACCAGGCTGAACAGAGACTCTTGGATTAGGAAAGCAATTTGTTGACAACAGAGATTAATGGCCATTCACATCCGCAAGAAAGAAACCTTTTAATACACTGTCAGGGTACCTTCTGAAAATACTGAATTCAGTCTGCATCTGTGAGGGACTAGAGAGAGCATGTCTGCCTGGACTTGGGAAGTGTCACGGTAGAGATTTTTGCGATTTCTCTGAATTGAAATGTCCCCAAAATGTCACTCTTTATTTTGGCCTTCAGATATTTACTGGATATACGGCTAACCTGTATTTTCAGACAGACAGGAAAAAAGCTGGGCATAAAAAACAGGGCAGCCATCACAGATGTAGAATGAAGCCATTTATTTTCATAGCATAAATCTTTAACCAACAATCCACAATGCTGAAGGGGGGAAACGTTAAA